ATAGGGGCTCTCTTCGGGCCAAGGCTGTCCCAATGGGACCTTGGATAGCGCAAGTATCGTCTGCTCCAGCTTTCGTCGGCGGTCGCCTGTTGATAAGGCTTGCATCATATTCTTCTCCGATTCGAATATTAGCCGTGAACCAAGAGCCTCCGCAAAGGCATCCACGTTCGGGGAGATTGTGGGCGCAGAAGTGGGCAAGATCTTCATAATACCCACCCCAGGCTTTAGCAAGCATGACAGACGAAGATCGTGTGCTATCAATTAATGGTCGTCTGGGGTCCTCAGAATCCTGCTTTTTGTGTTGCTGATCCATCCCGGGTGGGAGAACTCAAAAGGTTCGGACCATTGCCTCGCCAGAAATAATCTGCAAACACGCGCGACACTGAATACCAGGCTCATTGCCAAGGCGCCAGATGTCTCTCGAGTATGAGTACGACTGGTTCGACATTTTCCGAATTAAGAGCTTAGGCTCCTAGATTATGTATGTTTGTTCGGTCCCGGGCGTACAGAGGTGGGCTACGCTTGTGTCAATTTCACTGGCTGTCAGCAAGGCTTTGGGGAGAAAATTACCGCATGCCCATGCTCAAATTTTGGGCTTAGGCATTTTCAAGGATTAGAATCCTCACGTTAAAGTGGGCCTATCGGGTGAGTCTCCAATATCCAGTGCATTCGAGGTGGCACATAGCCTCACCTGGTCACCTTCATTACAACAGTTGCTAACATCCTATATCACATCCACAATTTGTAGCACAGGGCCCTTCTTTGGCTGCCAATAATTGGGTCTAGTTGGAACGTTTTCCAATTATGCATAATCCGTTCATCCTGAGGATCTGATACTCCTGCATGCTGACCACCAACAACTCGCTGCCAAGGCGTAGCCTGCTTCTTTCTCCAGCCTTCGCCCTTGCGGGTACGCTTCCCATGGCAGGCTTTCATTTGAATCGGGAATCTATTTATACGTTTAATGGGAACTTGAGCTCAGTTGAACGAAAAGGGGGTCTTTGTGTCTACCTGGATTTACATTAATATTTCTTTCCCAAGTTCATCCCCAAGCAGGATCACTTTAGTTTATCAAACGAATGAGCAAGAGCCTATTTGTTGCTTCTATACACAGCTCTGAATCTCTACCAACATGGTGAATATAGAGATGAGGAGTCATCCCTATCAAAAGCTTCCCGAGGCAGTTGCGAACACTCAAGTCAGAGCACCTCACACATGTCATCGGAACGTCGGACGGCAGTGTTGGTCGCGTCTGGTTTCAGAGTGGTATCTGCTTTTCGTATATGCAATATTCTGCGTCGTCTTCGCGTTCGGCATGTGGAAAGGTCTTGATGGCGAGTCTTTCGCCGTTTCTGGACGCTCACTACGACTCGACAGCTCATTCAGACTCACCCAAACCGACGTTTCCACGATAATCTCAGCTTGCCTTGTCGCTGGAAGAGCTCTAGGCACTGCGTGGCAGGGGCTTGCCGCTTGGCGGTGTATCTTTATTCTCTTTGAAAAGACTGGCCTCTCTCTCGAAGATGGCCTCTATCTCGAAGTAATGTCGTGGGCTCCTGAAGCTACCACCGTGGTCAATCATACGGTCAAGGTCATCATCCCGGCAAAACGAAGGTGCCGTGAAACTCCTTGCGATACTGTCTCTTCTTCTTGCCTGGTCTGCGCAGCTCGCCAGTCCGCTGGCAACCGGCTCCGTGTCTTGGGTGCCAGTCTTATCTTACGACACGGACTCAATGAAGGCCATTTCTCTGGGCTTGGCGTCGCCTGGCGACGGATGGGCCAAGTACAAAAATGGCCTCAACATTCGCCGGGGCCTAGTCCAAATGGCTGCCGGATTAGCAAGCCTGAAGGCAATAACACCCCTCGAGTACAACAAGGGGTCCTTGAATGTGACCCAAGCGCGTCGCATGGGAACCTTCCTTGGCTCTTACACCAACGGTACAGTGGTTCAGAACGCAACAGTGCCCATCTTCAAGATCGAGTCCTTCCAATGGATCACCGTTGAATCGCAAATACCCCCAACGATTCTACAGACCTTGCAGGATCCTCAGACCAAAAATCTCAAATTTGCCGAGGACGAGACGCAGATGACAAACGCCTTAGGGGCAACAACTCTTCTGAAAGACCAGCCCTGGAAAGTGCCATCCACGGAGGCGCTGCCCGAGGCAATCAAGGTTTTAAATGAAGTCCGATATGCCTCAATCTATGTGTTTTCCGGAAACAAGAAGGAGGAATACGATTGCCATAAGAGCATCGGCTACACCAATAACACCGAATTCGGCCCCCTGCCGCCTGAGATCCATCTCGTCAAAAGCCGTCGCGAGGACCGTTCCGATTGCATCGCCGTTTCCAAGCTCAAGATCAGTGCAGGAGTAACATACTGCAATCAAACGGGCCCGACATCCAACAGTTCGTCATGCTTCATCGCCTCGAACAATTGTTTCCACGAGCGAAGAGGTGTTGCCAGACAACCTTACCGGAGAGATATTTGCTATGATGCAAGAGGTTCACACACTTGTGGCATCTTTACGTATGAATGACCCAGAAGCCTACATGGGGCGACTGGAAGAGGGCCCTGTGCGACTCGCTCGTTCGGACCTACCAAGGAACATGGAGTGCATTAACAGAGGCCTTCTCAGCTAGCAACTTCCCGGGCGGGATCGGAAGACTCGAAACCAGAGGTTGGGAGCCAGTGGAAGCTCTTCGGGCGGAGGTTTCGTCTGTAAAGATTCTTTCATGGCTGGCTATGAGTATGTTGTTCGTATTTTCCGGTTTCTTGGTGTTAGTTCTCGACGCCTTCTCTGACGGAAAGACGGCAAGAAACCCGGTAATTGCAGCTATTATGTTAGACAGCTCTGGAGTTATTGAGGCGGATGAAACTGGCCTTTTTAATGCGATGAATATCAGTAAAGATCATGAGAATGATACTAAGCGGAGACTGCGCCTAGAAGTAAGCAACGGGAAGGCTGAAACGAGCGACTACAAACATCCGAGATTAGTACAAGAGGAAACTTCGGCGGCCGATCTTCGTTAGTTGGGATTGCTAGTAGGTACTGCATGCATTATCTACGTTGATCATACATATTTCTTAGGCCCCTGCTCAGGACTTGAAGACTTGCGACAGCTGAGACATGCAATCTTGCCCCTCTCATAGATGCTTCGAAGTCGTCAAGTGATTTTACGAACTCGAAAGCGCCAGCACGTGTTGAGAAAGTTTCGAGCCCACACAGCACGGGTTTTCACGGTAGGGAAAAAAGCAGTAAAAGCACTTCGGTCAGTGCCCAATCCTGTAGTTTTGCAGTGTACGTGCCCAGAGTAGAATGCTCCAGTATTAACCGTAGTCTGGTAAGGACGCAGGATCGCTGCTAGCCCAGCCTCACATGAACGTCGTGAGTGGGTTTCGTTGAAAGTAATTTGACTCCACAAACTGAAGCTAACGTTGAAAAGGTATTTGGCTGTATATGAGCGTCGGGACTCCGATACAAGCTGAAGAAAAATGGGTTCAGTCTGAGTCGAAAGTTGGCTCTCAAGAGGTTGCTTAAGTGTAGCAATGTCTGTCCGTTAGATTGGGATCCAGGGATGAGGCTTGCTTCTGATTATTTGGTCGATAACTTTTAGTCACGATCCTTTTTTGACAAGCTTGAACATTGGTACGCCGTGTGGACGAGTTGCCCAAATGCCGCAGGCGTAAGTATCTCTTCCGTCCAACACATAACTTCTAGATGTAGTAGTACCAAATTCTTTCCGATGGCAAATAATAAAACCGTGATGCAAACTAATGATCTTCGCAAATTTACTGCTGTAGACGTGGCCCTAATGGAAATATTTACATTGCCAACTAGGGGACACTGTCAACTCCGCATTTGGGGACATTTGATTCAAAGAGCTGCCAAAGAAGGGAACCCTTTCAACTTTGCCACTGAATCGATATGAAACATATTCGATCACGCTGTGTCTAAGTAGGAATAGCAGTGTTCTCCGGCGTATCCAAAGTGTATGATAATGGCATAGGAAAATGGCAAAAGGTTGCTGAAGCTTTCGTCGACGACCAATGATGGACTTCAATCTTGCCTTGAATGAAATCCCATTCGAAAACAACTTTGGGCTTGTTGACGTTCTTGCTGGGTCAGAGTTGTTATTGACAATAGCGCCCTCATGGTCTGAATACTGTTCCGCAACTTATCAGAACTTTATTCGTCAAAAGTGAGGCAGCGTCTGGATGCAAAGAGCCGACCAGCGCAACAGGGATGCCTAGAGCAGATCTCAATCAGCAGACAGTTGGGTGCATCAGCTCTAAAACATTGCAGGACCAAAGACATCACGCGAATAAAATCAAAGATTATCTTTAAGGTACAGTCATCTAACATTGGGGTTTCTCGCTGTAATTTGGGATCGTGACGGTTGTACAGTTTGGGAACATCCATCCAGAAGAGACAACACAACCCATTTTGTCTATTGTAATTCCTCCATACGTTGCAGAGGCAAGAGACGAGAGCAGCGATATCAATCAAGCACTGCTCTAAAAGTACAGGAACAAGAATCGTTCACAGTCTTCCTCAACTAACTCCGCTGCCTAGGCATCATCCACCCACCCGCCTGGAATGCATAGCGGCGGATTTTCAATAAGATCCCAGAATTCCCCAGCGAACTCATACTCGTAAGTATCCCAAATAAGGTACCAGTCTTCGGGCCGAGGGCCGTATTCAAACCCGACCAGCCGCATGTTAAAAGCCCTATCCCTGTAGCTTCCAGGCAGCAACTCTGAGCCCCGCCGGTGTCGAAGAGGACAGCTCGAATGAAGATATATGGCGAGTTCGCGCCTACCGTACTCTGCCAGATCTATGCCCACAGACTGCAAGTCCTCCAACCAGAATATCATGGCTCGAGACACCCCTTGCATCATCCAACGTGATTCGCGACGTCCTCTCAAATATGCGCAGTCAAAACGACATTTATTTGACAAACCGCAGAGGAATGGCGTCACGTCGTCTCTCATGAAATTACTCAACTCAGTGAGCTTTGACAGAGAGATTCCAGCGAGATACCATCGTACAAGTTTCCGCCAGTGATAAAACTTGTGAAAGCGTATGAGACCGATCTTTCCCCTGGTTCCATCTCTACGAAGCCACGGGCTGTCCCAGAGACCAATAGGCATCTCGCAGAAGTAATTCTCCGCAAGGGCTTGCAGACTTAGCCCTCTACCTGGATTCAAGTTAGACTTGTCATAATGTCCTTCAACTGCCCTCAAAGCAGCTGGAGTGATACTAGCGCTCAAGCTGACTTGCTGCAGTAAAACTTCCGGCCTGACTGCGGACCACGAAAGATATGCAAACCGAGGTTGAGGAGACAACTTGAGGTACTCTTGGTATCGGTCCCCGGTCATTGTTTGTATAACACCAGGAACCCTCCAAATATAGTAAGGAAAAGCGTATCTCTGGGAAGTCCGAGCGCCAGAGAACATTATGTCAATCTCTTCCTCGAGAGCTCCTAAACCCATCATTGTTTTACCAATTCCGGTGAGGGCCGTGTTAGAATAGCCGTAAGCTCCTGTAACATGTGCCGTGTCAATAAAGCCGGGCGTTCCGTAGATATGCTGAGCAGCTGTTTGACCACGATCGTCGGTTTCTTCGGGGCTCAACCCCCAGCTTAGTAATGCTTTGAACGTGTCTAGTTTCCCGCCGTAAGCTGCAATCTGAACACACCAGTCAGCCTTTTCTCAATTCACGTCTACTGAGATTGTGGTTGACTTACATGAAGCAATGTTCCTCCGCTTCGGTCACGATCGAATAATGATATCTCTCCCGCAGCTAGGGCCTTCTCGACATCCAGGAGCTTGCCATATCTGACATCGTTGAATATTTTGCCATAGATACTACCTCGCTTAATCCATGGCTCCAGACAGATTTGCCAACCAACATTTGCGCGATATGTCTGCAAGTCAAAGACCCTTTGAGATACCCATGTCGGGAGCTGCAGGCGAAGTTGGTGCACTAGCAATGTGTTAGCGCAAGCGTGCGAACTTGCACCTTGGTGAGCTTACCGGTACTATTCGCGTAAAACGGATTCTGAGACTGCTTGTAGGTGAAACCTCCGAAGAAAGACGGTTTTTGCCATGGAAGAGGCTTCGGGCCAACCTCATATCTGGTTGGGCGGATCGTTTCCAGCCGATCGGAATGGCTCGTGTCGGTCTGCACCTCATGCGCGTCATCCACAACAGTGTCCAGTGAACTTGGCTCTGGATCTTGAACCAGTTGCACCACAGGCTGAGACTTCATGAAAGCCCTACAAGAGTCAGTAGCTGTTCGCACTTTGAGCGAGGATTGACGGCACCCACATCATATAGCTTTGCTGCGAAAGCGAGATCAGGTGCAACGCCCAACCGATCCGTTCCTAGTACTTCCGGATGTCCTCCTTCTTGAACGAGACCTTGAGCTTCGTGATGTTTCTTCTCGATCGCTTCGCAGTACTGATCCTGGCCTGCAGGTCCTCCGCCAAGCTCTCCAGATCATTGAAAGCGTCTCGACAGTACTCGATGCTCGCATTCAGGTTGGTGGCACTGTTGGAGTAGACCTTGTGTCGCTGCTGTTGCACGAAATCGGCCTCCATCCCCGCCAGGACGGGCTTCAGTATCTCAAGCTGTCTCATGATGCGATTCATCTCTTCGGGGATGTCCTGGATCTCGTCCCACAACTGCTTCAGCTTCATGACGCTGAGGCCGAATTTTCCCGCCAGCTCGGCGACTGCAATCGCGCTGCTGACAACGCCGAGCACTTCTGCCATAGTCGCCGTTTAATTTGCGCAGTCATGAAGGTACCTTTGGGATGTCTCTCGAGAGACGCGCCTCCGGGGATGCTGCTCCCGCCGACGTGACTTTTGGAAGATGGCTGGGAAGTCGAACAACGAGTAATTTGGGGGAAAACCAGTCAATCAGGGCTGGAGGCGGGGTTACGTTCGTAATAAGACCCACGGTAAGGTCGCGCCGAGAAAGCCTCTCTGCTGAGCTGTAGCATCTAAGAACCAACAGCATTCGTGTTGCAGATTCATGCATGCTGCTACTGCGTTTATGGCGTGTGATTCGATGGCGGCTGGCGGGACCAACAGGGGAGGTCTGTACACCTTGCCAAACGATTGAATTTATCACTGGGCTTTCGGGATTCGGGCGAGTTATCATTACGATATATCGGTCCTTTATCATTCGCAACGGTAGCAAAGCATTTGGCTGAATCGCGAGAAACAATGGACAAAGAGGAACTCTTGGCATCGTAGTCAGCTTTGACCTGTAGGAAATCTACTGCAGAGACTCAGACGGATCGTGATCCGCTCAACCCCCGTCGACATGCCTTCAGGCGACCAGATATGGGGGAGTAGTTCTGTTGGCACTCATTGCGCCTGTCCATCCCCTGAAGACATGGGTTGAGTGCAATACGAGACGACTTCAGGTTGACAGCTGTATCAATCTAAATTATGTATAAACGAAAGTATGTAGTTCTATGCATCATTCCCAATGAACAAACTCAAGTTGCGTGGTTCACTGAATCGTTGGAGGCGGCGTCGGTTGCTTCTTCCGTCTCGGCGGCTCCACCTTCACCGGCTCCGGCATCTTCGCGACCTCCGCCTCTTTAATCTCGGCCTCCGTGACAACCTCGGGCTGCTTGAGAAGATCAGACTCCTCCGCCAACTCAATCTTCCTCACGGTCTCATTCTGGTTGACCTCCGGTTTGACAGGCGTGGGCTGAAGCACTTCAATCTTTGCCGGCTCCGGCGCCTTCACAACATCAGGCTTGACCTCGACCTCAGGCTTCACCGGCTCCTTCACAGCCTCCTTCTCAACAACCTCAAAGTCAGGCTCGACAACCTTGGCCTTCGTCTCCTCCACCTTCGGCGCCTCCGTCTTCACCTCCCGCTCCATCACAACCCCGCTATCCCTTCGTCCATCCCACAACTCCCTCACAGCGCCCCAGTACCTCTCCCCGTCCGTCCTCGCGTGCGCCACATGCTGGCTGCCCTCGAATCTCTCCCTGCCCACCCTGAACCCGACCTCCCGCGCCTCGTTGGCGTGCTTCTCAACATCCCCCCAGTAGATCATCTCGTCCTCGCGGCTGTACAGATACACCCGCCGCTGCTCGCTCTGCAGCAGCGCCTTCTGCTTCAGCGCCGCCCACATCCTGCCGAGAAACCCGTGCCGCCCGCCGAACGGCACCTGGAAGATCCAGAACCAGCCGATGAAGACGTGCACCAGCGGCGCCAGGAACCGCGGGAACACCGCCGACAGCGCGCGGTAGCTGCGCATCCAGTGGAACCCGCCCGGGCACGAGTCGTACACGCTCACGTGCGGCGGCAGGCTGTCGAGCCCCCGGCCCGCGCGGTCGGCGGCGGCGTAGAGCTCGAAGAACTTGGACAGGTTCGACGCGCCGCCGTTGGAGAAGACGTGCAGCAGCAGCTGGGGCCGCTTCGCCTCGCCGGGCGGCGTGGCGTCCGCGAGGGCCCGCACGACGGAGACGGCGGGCTTGATCTCGCGCTTGGCGATGCGCACCGAGAGCGTGTGGATGAAGGGGCACTTGACCAGCAGGATGCGCGCCGTCGGGTAGAGGGCCATGTAGCGCGAGGTGTACTTTGCGATGTGGACGTCTTGGGCGGACATCCAGGCGAAGATGGCGATGAGCTGCGGGGAGCCCGGGTCCGGGGCTGCCGATGGCGGCTCGTACAGGAATGTGTTTGGGGAGAGGGCCCTCATCTGTGGGAGAGCCCCTTGGGTGGTTAATTGGTTTGAGGCCATGTTGGATGATGCTTTGGCTCTCGATGTGCGGCTGCGGGTGTACTAGAGTGAGATGGGGGATGATGATGAGTGGGAATGTGGAGGGAGTGAGGTCGGATATAAAGTAGTGGACCTGAGGTCATGGACGAGACACTAGTTGCATTTAGACGCTGCAAGTTCAGCCTTAAGTTGTGTCTTCTTGGGACGTGTAGTCATGGCAAGGTTGTTAAGGTTGGCAAGGTTACCCCTTCCGGCAACTGCCTCGGCTTGAAACCCCTGGTCGGCGGGGTTGCGAATCCATCCTCAACGGTAATCTAGAGGATTCTCTGAAGGATCGCTGTTGAGAATGGGTCTACGATTCTAGGCATCCACTGATAGCAATTCGTAGCAGGGGAATGGCTCGGATTGATATGGAAATTTGAACCCAACGGGCCGGCGGCAAGACAGCAACGGCCGTCTCGGCGAGTTGGGGTAAACGCTCCGACCACTAGTCAATGCAGGTCAATGAAGCTGGCGATTGAGCAGTGTTCAGGCTTGAACCAGTTTATAATTTGACGTTTAATTAATGTCAAAATTTGAGTACAGGGTGGCAGCTCATAACAAGTCGTTCCATGGCAACTGTTCGTACGAAGATAGCATCAATTCTACCCGGAGTCGTGCTGCCCAGTTCAAACCATGTGAAGGACAGACTGTTTCAGCCGAAGTTACCAACGGTATCCCAGCTAACAAAGTCTTGAATCATCAGTCAGCCTCGTTTCCCATACTACTCAGTTCAGTTCAGATGAAGTTCCATAGGTGACATAGAAGTAGTTCTGACGGGCCGGGAAGAACATCGTGTCTTTACGCGCAGCAGGGGGATGCGGATGATGCGCCATCCCGCATATCGCATGAATGACAAACAAATTGAGCAGAATGCATCCATCGGATGTGAGAGTACATATCGTGGCGTTTTACTCGATGGTGGCAGGGGATACTTGCTTCGTCACGGGCCTGTACCATGGCCGCCTTGGCTGCAGCTGCCAACGTGCCAGAAGACCCTAGAAGAGCCAGAAGCCCAAGACGCCTCGCCGTTGGAAGTCTTCATCATTTCCGAACTTTGATTGCCCAGGTCCTGAAAGCTGTGTCCTGTACAACTTGCCCCTGGATGACACCTCGGACGGCAGCTGCAGGTTCCCGTTGAGCGTGGGCACCACAGCTGGACGTCGGACGCAGACTTTGAACCGAGATTGGGAGCATCATATGCCGTTTTGGATCGAATCCCGAATTGTTTGAAGGTTGGTATATTGTCTGGACTTTTCCTGACACTCAATGAACTCCATGGCTGCTTAGAGACGGGAATTAGTATAGATGCCGTTAGGCTTGAGCGAATTCAACATTTACGACCAGCCAGTCGTTTGAGCAGTGAAAAATTTGAACGGTCTAAACCTTGGGTCCCATCACAGCTTGTGTTATGGACATGTGAAACTTCAATCGGGTACATATTCGCGGCCAGCCCCGTTCGTTCCGTGATCCTGTCAAACGGATGAGAGGACTTGCACGGTTCCAAGTCCAAAGGCCCGAATGACTTGGACGAGTTTGGACCATGAGGTCGGGATGAGTGCGGTGACGGAAACGAATCGAATGGCAAACAAATGGGTGATCGGTAGCTGTTAATTGCCTTCTAAGTCACGATGCGTCTGATGGAGGAAGACTGCGCACGGGTTAGCTATTTCATATGAAGATGATCCGGAAAGAGAAGATACTTGGGACTTCACGAGGCAAAAAAAAAAAGATGTGTATCACGACAAACAGGGAAGCAGTTGCCGTGACCATGAGCTCCTCCCGGATGTGACAACGTTACCAAACGAGACAGGCGCAGGGTCGCCCCTATCGTGACTTCCGCGACGGCAACCACCCTCTCGGCCCCTTCCCCCTTTCGCGAGCCACGCCTTCCCGGCGTCACAAACAACCCAGGAGGAGGAAGCGACTTCAAGGCAACTGCCTCCCGTCGTCAGATGCCGCACTGAATCTAACGCACCTCCCATCTCTCTGTGTCCTCGACCCCTCCTTATTACCTCCCTCCTTCGTTCCAAGATTCCGAATCTCCTCTTTCGCAACCCATCACTACCCTCTCTCCAGCTGCCTCATCCAGAAACTCCAGCTGTTGAGCCACTCCTTAGTTCACTCTCTTGTTCATTCTCTCGTTCCACCAGACACTCATTTCTTGTACATTCCTTCCAACTTTCTCTGCCCTTCATCGCCATGAGGGTCGCCCATGTCCTCTCCTCCCTCGTGGGAGTTGATGTACTTACCGCCAACGCTGCTGTCATCGACAAGCACAAGACCAACAGCATCGAAATCATCAGCCCCCTCAAGGGCATCAGCTTCCAGCGTCTCAAGGCTCACCGCGAGCCTATTGCTGAGGATGTCGTCGGCCGCACTCAGCCCCTCAAGGCCTTCCGCGGCAAGATCGCTGGCCACAATGCCGCCACGGCCCTGCAAGCTGCTCAGCCCAAGGACCTCTCCAATGCCTACCAGAACATCACTGCCCTGACTCCCTATGGCACCCAATACTCTATCGAGGTCATCTGGGATGGAAAGCCCCTCAACATGCTGTTCGACACCGGCAGCAGCGACACCTGGGCTGCCAGCACCAATCTCTCCTGCGTCAGCATGACGGGCACCGTCGCCTACCCTCAGGAGGCATGCGCCTTTGGTCCTGACCTCATTGACGGATTCAAGTATGGTCCTGTCGAGGATATCCATTTCGCCCTCAGCTACGGCTCTGGCGAGAAGGCATCGGGCCCCATGGGATACAGCGATATCGAGGTCGCTGGCATCGTCGTTCAACAGCAGCAGGTTGGCCTTGCCAATCTCACTCACTGGTACGGCAACAACTACACCAACGGCATCCTTGGCATGGCCTATCCCTCCATCACGAGTGCATTCACTGGCGATGCTACCGAGAAGCGTCCTGCCTTCCAGGTGCCGTACCAGCCCTTCTTCACCAGCATGGTCCAGCAAGGACTCTCTGCAGACTCCTTCAGCGTTGCCCTAGTCCGCAACTCCTCGGGTGTGATTGCTTGGGGTGGCCGCACAGGCGTCACCATCTCGAGTCCCACGGCCTACACGGACCTCATCATCGTAAGTCGCTTTCCTCGTCTTCCCTTGAATGGTTGCAACCCCAGCTGACATGCCGAAAGACACAAATCAACACTGAGCGACCAGAATCCGCCTGGCAGTACTCGTACTACACGATTCTTGTCGACGGCATCAAGTGGGGAACGACGACGGACGAGAGAAAGTTCCCCTACATCGTCGACACGGGAACCACCATGATGTTCGTCCCTCCCCCTATCGCAGAGGCCATTGCCAGGTCATTCTCCCCCAGCGGCATCTACATGTTTCAGTACGGCTCTTACTTTGCACCCTGCGACGCGGTTGCTCCGCGTGTCGCGGTTGTCATCGAGGGCAACAGCTTCTGGATCAACCCTGTAGACCTCATCTTCCGCAACATGAAGGATCAGCTCACTGGATACTGCCAGATCGCCATCACCACTGGAGCTACTGGTCCGTATGTTCTCGGATCAGTCTTCCTGCACAACGTCGAGGCTTATTTCGACGTTGGCGCTGCCCAGATGCGCTTCTACTCCCGACAGACCTTTGGTCCTACGCCCGAGGCCTCAATTGGTCCGGATCGTGTGTCTGTCTAACAAGTTCAAGAGTCCCGGTTTCTTTTCTGACGAGTAGAGCTAGGTGTGGATGAGATGCATCAGTTATCATATCGCGGATCAGAATTGTCGAGAGATTGATTTGCTCCAAGCTTCTGGGGTCTGTGGGACCAGGAAAATTGCTTTGCCAGAGATGTGGTTGTCGGTTGCTAGATAGGTCCTTAGGTTGGTAGAGTTCAGTCTAAGCATGCCACTTGCCTCATGTTTCCTTTGATGAGTGATGCTCTCGATCCATGGTCCATGAATGGAGCTGTCTTGCCCGGTTCAGTAATGTTTTGGGCAAGTAGAGAGCTTCGCAGCTGTGCAGTGTAGCTTCCCAGATGCTTTCATAGTGACGGGAGGCAAGCAAACCTAGCGCAACTGGCGTTCCACAGTGGACAGTGCTGAAACCAGAGGCCGGATCGGGACTTATCGGAGTGGCGACGGAGGGCTTATCGCAGACACAGTAGTCTTATCGATAACGGGTGTGACCTCACCGGTTCATGGGCACCGATTTCTGCCACTTCATTCAACAGTTCGTGATCCAAGCCTGTTGCAACCCTTCGCCCTCACCGACTTCCTCTGCCTGGCGACGCCTAGATTACCCCTCAAAGGACACGAATACCTCTTCTTCTTCACCTGCCACTATCTTTTGCGCTTTAGCTCCTCTGTAGCCCGTCTCCTCGTCCTCACGATCAGCCGCCCCTGACCGCCCGGTGTGTGCTGCGGTTATTCGGCACTCGCTGCACCGACCGACAGTTTTGTGTCCTCCGACATCCTCCGCCATTCGTCGGCAAAAGAAAAGTCCAGCAGCATTTGGAGATTCGACAACGGGGCACGAGTTTCTGACAGCAAGGCCAAGAGCGAAGCGTTTCCAGAGCCTCGGAAATTTCGAAGCCTTCAAATCGGACCAGCACCTCAGCCAGTATGGGTATCGGAGTAATCCCGGCGGGTGCGCCCCTGGTGGACGGCAAGCGACAGCCCAGGAGGCAGCACACCTGGAGCTTTAGCAAGGTACGATGAGTCTTTGCTTTCCTTCTGTTGGTTTGTTTCGAGAGTGTTTGGTCTCAACCGTTTTCCGGTCTGTCTCTCATCTTTGTCCCGTTCTGCTACCTGGGCATTACTCAGTGAGGTGCAGCTCAGTGAGTTGTGCAGCAAGCCACTTGGTTCTCAGAGCATCAGAGCCTCCGGTATTCAGGGACTCGATTTTCCCTCCTTCCCGTCACTCTCGCCCCCAATTGAAGCAGTCAGTGTTTTTTCCCTTCTCAAATGCACCCAGGCGGTGTGAACGACCACGCAGGGGGCTCGCTGGCATCTGAGAAAAAACCCGACCCCTGAGAAAAAGCTCTGCTGGTTGATACGATCTGGCAATCGTGCCGATTTGCTGGGCCGCCCCCGTGTCGCGTCCCGGCCGGCTGGACTTGCTGGTTCGGAGCAGGGCCAGCCAGCAGCATAGGCCCGGCTGGGCTGGAGTGGGGGTGCAACAGGAGGATAAAGGAAAAGCCCCTGACGCGCGTGGGTGGTGAGAATTTACCAGCTGCGCAAGTGCAGCAGCAGCAGCGGTGTAAATCCCAATTCCCATATTTTTTTTGCTTCTCGGCCAAGGTCAGGAGACCCCTTTGGACCGGATGACCTTTTCCCCTGGCGAATTGTACGTGGGGGTGTCAGGTGCTAGTGGCCAAGCTTGGCTTGCCTGCTCAGTTGAGCTGCTGTCTGAAGGCCTTTTCCGGTTTCTTAGCAGAGTGCTGCTGCTGCCGGCTACATGTTTGCACGGCCGGCGTTGTCTCGGTAGTAGCCGGGAATGATCGGACGGGGGGGAAATGCATGTTGGCTGGGAGCAGGAGCAAGAATGGCAAAGTTGTCGAAGGAGCAAGAAGTCCTTATTGTTTCCGGAAGTGGGATTGGAATTTCAGTGTTTTACTTTTTCTGTCGCGACACGGGGGAATCCTTCGGTTTTCGTTTGCAGCTGTGGCTCCGTCATCACCAGATGCAAGTGCAGTTTGCGTACAGTAATGCATACCGGCATCTCTCCTGACGAACCGGCTATGACTGGCGAGTCGGATGGGAGTGTATTTGGCCGTGGGCTGATCTCCACCTCGGTTGTGTTCGGTGAGAGAGCAAGACTCGAGCAAAAGTGCAGGAATTAGCTGGCCTTCACTGGCTGATGAGCGCTGCGAGAGGTCCCGTTGAATGCGGGGACGGGGAGCTGAAGCTTGGAGCTGTCACGTTGAGTGCTGGATGGGCTGCTTAGTGGCTGCCCGCCCACCCCCAGGCTGGAAAAGTTCAGGGACCGGAGAGAAGCGGGCACAGGAACGCCAAAATGAGGGGCACCGGACGGGGGGGATTGGAGTTGGCATGGGGTCATGATGGAGGGGCGGGCAGGCCACGCCGAGGCTTCACCTTGCAGGACCTGAACTTGGACTGCCTTACTGCGTACACTCACTACCTTACCTAAGGTACCTATAAGGTCATGTCAAAGATTGCCATGGTGCACAGCAGGAATGGGCCAATAGTCAGCAGTCCTTGCAGGGTGGTGATCTGGTGCGTCTGCTGCTGCTCCTGGGAATCCCGATTGCAGGGAAAGGAAACATGGAAACATGCAAGCAGCGCTGTGCAGAGTGCGACAGCTGTGTCCGTAGCTGTCGCGCCTAAGTCTGTGAATCCGCCCCAGTGGGTTTGACTCTCAGTTCCGCCCTCTGTCTGACCTGATGAGACACCGGACTGATGCGACGAGGTGGGCTATCGTCTATTATGGCGGCAGCTGTTGCCTTTTTCTGCTGTTCCCTCTTGCCCGGTGTCATGGAAGTCTAGACTCCAGTCCAGTCACTGCTAAAGCAGCAGCAGCTTGTATTGACTCTGGCCGGTGGTTCGCAGCTACCTTACCTTACCTTACCTCAGTCACTCAGTCACTCACGCTACCCTCGGGATAGCCTCTCGGCGTCCCCTGCTTCCTTTTACGTACCGCTCTCTCAGTCCCCTTCCGTTTCTCCAGACTCGTGCACGCTGCTCGCCCACTCATTACTCTGTTCCCTCCACCCTCACATCACAGTGCTGCCATCAGATCACCTTACTCTCAAATCTGCCCCCTCACCCCGTGCATCTCTTTTCAACTTCTCTACAACACCAAACAGCCACACCTGGATTCCCACACTTCCAACGTATACCATATACGGCCATACATACGCAAACAGACGAGGACCCTAGCCAGCCGTCCTGGGAGTCCTACCTCACGCCAGTGCACATTATCTTTCCCTCTGTCCCCTGCTAGCGGCTCTTGCAGCACCTGGGAGCTACGTAGCTGTCGTCGGGTCGAGAAGTGCCTCCACCCCGGCTGTGCTCCAGGCCACCGCACCCGCCCCCGAACCTCACACCGGGGGGTCCCGCCTTTTCTGGGCGTAGAGCTACCGCCTCTGCTGGAACCATCACGCGAGCTGCCTTCCGCGCCCGCCGCAACCTCGCGCCTTCTTGTTCCTGCTGTCTCTGTTCGCTTCTGCATGGTCTTCTTCACGCGTCGCTCCTCGTCGTTTCTCTCGTCGTAGCACTATCTCAATATAAACGTGCACGTCGGCAAGCCGTCAAGATGCCATCAGCCAAGACTAACGGCATCGGCATCCAGGTGGAGGACCTCAAGATATGTGTCGTCATGGTCGGTCTGCCCGCCAGAGGCAAGAGCTTCATCGCCCAGAAAGGTACGTTTACAATACCGTCACACAAGCTTTGGCACGACTCGCGCTTCGGGGCCCCCAACTTTCAGGAAGTCGTCACTGACCTTTCCAGCGCAACGGTATCTGGGTTGGCTCTCAATCAAGGCCAAGACCTTCAACGTCGGCAGCTACCGCCGCCAGGAGGATGCTCACCCTTCTGCTGACTTCTTTGACTTTCACAACGCAGAGGGTGAGCGGAGACGTCGCGCCGCCGCCGAGAAGGCCATCGAGGACATGCTGGCTTGGTTCCGCCAGGGCGGTGTCATCGGCATCCTCGACGCCACCAACTCCACCAAGGAGCGCCGCAAGTGGGTTCTCGACATCTGCACCAAGGAGGGCATCGAAGTCCTCTTTGTCGAGAGCAAGTGCGATGACGAGAACCTCATCATGGCCAACATCCGCGACGTCAAGCTCACCTCCCCCGACTACCAGGGCCAGGACCCCGAGGAGGCGGCCCTCGACTTCCGCAACCGCATCCGCAACTACGAGAAGGTGTACAAGTCGCTTGACGAGGACGGCGACGAGGATGAATACACGTACCTCAAGATCATGGATGTCGGCAAGCAGGTCATCATCAACCGCATCCAGGACTACCTGCAGAGTCGTGTCGTTTACTACCTTATGAACCTTCACATCCGGCCTCGTTCCATCTGGCTATCAAGAGTGAGTCTTTTGTGACTGGTGAGTGGAATTACACTGACATGGAACAGCACGGAGAGTCCATGTACAACTTGGACGGCCGCATTGGCGGCGACACAATGCTCTCGCCTCGTGGTGAGCAATACGCCAGGAAACTTCCTGAGCTCGTCAGGAAATCAGTCGGCGTAAGTAAACCCGCACTCGAATCTCACCTCACGCTCACATCTACAGGACGACCGTCCCCTCACCGTTTGGACCTCAACACTGAAGCGCACCATCGCCACCTCCCGCTTCCTTCCTTCCGACTACAACCAACTGCAGTGGAAGGCTCTCGACGAGCTCGACTCTGGTGTGTGCGACGGACTGACCTACCAGGAGATCAAGGACCGCTTCCCCGAGGACTTTGCCGCCCGCGACGAGGACAAGTACAACTACCGCTACCGCGGCGGCGAGTCCTACCGCGACGTCGTCATCCGCCTCGAGCCCATCATCATGGAGCTCGAGCGCTCCGAGGACATCCTCATCGTAACCCACCAGGCCGTCCTGCGCTGCATCTACGCATACTTCATGAATAAGTCTCAGGCGGACAGCCCGTGGATGAACGTGCCGCTACACACTCTCATTAAGCTCACCCCGCGTGCCTATGGAACCGAGGAGGTGCGCTACGAGGCCAACATTCCGGCTGTTAGCACCTGGCGCGGCAAGGGCTCCACGGCCAAGCATGAGAACCCGACGGCGGAGTGTACGTGAGCCAGAGCGAAATGGGCATGAATCGTGATGAGAAAGAGCAAGTTTGACTAAGGCTGGACCCAGGAAAAAAAATAAGTTGAGGCGATGAGCGGATCGGCGTACGGGGGCCAACGGGTCCCAAAAGAGCGTGCGGCGGATTTCCTTTTTCTTCACTTGACGACGACAATGTCCTTTCCATTCCAACTCGGCATTCTCTCATCCGTCCCACGGCGTTTAAGGAACGACGAAAAGAAAAATACACACGCAGATAGGAACATTTTCGGCGGTAAAAACGCAGGGAGGCGGCATATCAAAGGCGGGCGTGTCCGACAATCATTCTCACATGGAAATATCATGTTAGCTTACTGGCCTCCGGGCGGGTCGCCCGTCGTGCTCCGCGATGGTTTCGCAGAGTCGGACGCTGTGTGGCCACTCGACATTGGCCCTTGTCAATGCTTGCTTTTCTTGCTCGAGATCCTACGACAAGTCTAGGATTCATGAAAGTCTCTGGCACGAGGCAGCCGGATGGATCGATGGTTCTTGGTGGTGGCGGGGGGCATAGGCATAGAGGTTCTTTTGGGACTGAGGTTGACGGAGGGCTTTCTTTTATGGTTGATCCCTTTCGTTTCACCCAGTTTATTTCTCACCGGGAATTGTATCTATGTAACAATGACCGTTGCATATCTGAGATGGGCGTCGTGCCCAATGAGAGGCTAGTTTGTTCACCTTCCAAGTCCACAACGCCATCAGTGTTACAAGAACAGACATGCGGGCCTCTATCGGATGCCAGAGGCGATGTCATCTTGTTCGTTTCGTAGGAATATACCTGCGACTTTCACCCTCGAGCGTTGGATTTGATTGCCGTGCGTTTGATTGGGTGATCTGTCGGGAAATTCTCAGCTTGCAGAACGGCACTGGATAGCCCTGTACATTGTGCAAAGCCGGAATATGCGCCGGATTTCACGTATGACGCCAACTTTTTGGTCTTCTTAATGCATCCAGTTGGATATCCAATATGATTAACTACCCATTCCATACTTAACTTGCATAACTCTATTCAGTTGAGAGGCTCTCAAGGTGGAAAACCGGGCTTGGAAAACAGGTCGACTACGACAATAAGGTTTTCTGCCCTACCCTCTGCTGAAAATAAAGGTTCTGAATAGCTCTTTACCAGGGTAAAAAATATCTTGAAATTCTTCATCCTCCGCCATTCCCGGTCAACTTTTTCACCCTCAACGATGCCCTGAAGGTTGGAAGCTCTGGTCGAGGTACGTATCCCGGTCTGCCCCGCACATCATCGGACCGGATGAACCACGTCCGCTATCGCAAAAGCAGCCCCACTAAATTTTCTCCCCGATAAGAAAAAATTCCCATTGAGACCCTCCAAACCAGCGGCTCGCAAAAGTTGCAGTCCTCCCGCCCCAGCGCAGCTTCCTCACAACCACCACCACCACCATACACACAGCCGCAACCATGGACGCCGCCGCCAGCAGCAAGAAGCGCAAGCTCCGCGACGCCAATGGCTCGAAGCCGTCCAAGAAGCGCTCCTCCTCCGGAGCAGCACCCTCCCCCGCCGCAAAGTCGAAGAAGCTGAAGCGCACCGCGCCCGCGCCCGCCTCCGACGACGATTCTGAGAACGACGATGCCGAGGAGGTGCAGTCAGACGACGAGGAGGAGGAGGAAGACGCCGCCGAGACCGCCGAGAACTTCAAGGACGCAGAAGACGACGACGGCGCCGGCTCAGACCTCGACGACGATGTCAAGGCCCCCGCCGCCGCACCCAAATCCACCTCCGCCTCCGACATCCCCAACGCGGACGCCCTCTCGCTGCCCCAGGTCGGCGCCGAAGCCCACGACTTCGCCGAGCTCAACCTCTCCGACAAGACGATGAAGGCCATCGGCGAGATGGGCTTCACCAAGATGACCGAGATCCAGCGCCGCGGCATCCCGCCCCTGCTCTCCGGTAAGGACGTCCTCGGCGCCGCCAAGACCGGCTCCGGCAAGACCCTCGCCTTCCTCATCCCCGCCGTCGAGATGCTCTCCGCCCTGCGCTTCAAGCCGCGCAACGGCACCGGCGTCATCGTCGTCTCGCCCACGCGCGAGCTGGCCCTGCAGATCTTTGGTGTTGCGCGGGAGCTGATGGCGCACCACTCGCAGACGTACGGCATCGTCATCGGCGGCGCGAACCGCCGCGCCGAGGCGGACAAGCTGCAGAAGGGCGTGAATCTACTTATCGCCACACCCGGCAGATTGCTGGACCACCTGCAAAACACGCCCTTCGTCTTCAAGAACCTCAAGTCGCTCATCATCGACGAGGCGGACCGCATCCTCGAGATCGGTTTCGAGGACGAGATGCGCCAGATCGTCAAGATCCTGCCCAAGGACGACCGCCAGACCATGCTCTTCTCCGCGACGCAGACGACAAAGGTCGAGGACCTCGCGCGCATCTCGCTGCGCCCGGGGCCGCTGTACGTCAACGTCGACGAGAAGCAGGAGCACAGCACGGTGGCCAACCTCGAGCAGGGCTACGTGATCTGCGACGCGGACAAGCGGTTCCTGCTGCTGTTCAGCTTTTTGAAGCGCAACCTCAAGAAGAAGGTGATTGTGTTCTTCAGCAGCTGCAACTCGGTCAAGTACCACGCCGAGCTGCTGAACTATATCGATCTGCCGGTGCTGGATTTGCATGGCAAGCAGAAGCAGCAGAAGCGGACGAATACGTTTTTCGAGTTTTGCAATGCGAAGCAGGGGACGCTGATCTGCACTGACGTTGCTGCGCGTGGATTGGATGTAAGTCCTTGCCCCCCCCTTCTCCTTGGTTTGACAGACAACGTGCTAATTGACGCTCGCCAGATCCCCGCCGTCGACTGGATCGTGCAGGTCGACCCCCCCGACGACCCGCGCGACTACATCCACCGCGTCGGCCGCACAGCGCGCGGCGCCAACTCCAAGGGCCGCAGCCTCATGTTCCTGCAGCCCTCCGAGGTCGGCTTCCTCACGCACCTCAAGGAGGCGCGCGTGCCGGTCGTCGAGTTCGACTTCCCCGCCAACAAGATCGCCAACATCCAGAGCCTGCTCGAGAAGCTCATCACGCAGAACTACTACCTCAACAAGAGCGCCAAGGACGGCTACCGCAGCTACCTGCACGCGTACGCGAGCCACTCGCTGCGCACGGTGTTCGACGTCAACAAGCTGGACCTGGCCAAGGTGGCCAAGAGCTTCGGGTTCGCGGTGCCGCCAAGGGTGGACGTCACGGTGGGCGCGAGCGGGCGCGGGGAGAAGAAGGTGCAGGGACGGAGGGCGTATGGGAGCCAGCCGAAGCAGGGGACTGGGGGTTATTATAAGAAGAGGTGAGATGGGCATGAGTTAGGTTGGGGAGAAGGGGCGAAAGATGAAAAGAGGAAGGCAAGGCATCCAACTGTGAAAATAGCACGGCGTCGAGTTTTTTAAAAATGGTAATTTGGGACTTTTTTTCTTCAAGAGACAGATCCTGCGGGTGTGACTTGGGGTACTCGCGGATAGAGGGTGGAGAGACGTATACAAGGGTAGTAGCTCAGCATGATCATTTCTTCCCAAGCCAATGGCCTCCGGGGTGATATTCAAGACGATTTTAGTAGTCTTTGTATCTGCTCGAAGCCAGTAGCATGGCTGACTGCCTTTGCGAGCAATGCGCTCACACAATAACTCGCTCGCTTGCTCGCAGCGGCGGTGGCGTCTCCTGCCATCGGTATACCATATGCATTTGGCATGGATACACGGAAGACACAGACATAAGCCGTACTTTGGCGCAGATGAGGTGAAGCCATTCGTGCGGTGTGTATCTGGTCATCATCCGCCCTATCGCGGACGCGGCAGAGGACCCTGATTTTCAAACATCGCCCAACCAGTACAGGATTGATGTTGCTTCTGGCGTCATCTTCTTCGCTCTGAGAGAGGCTTTTATCCTCAAAGCCTGGACAGCTGACGAATTCCAGGGTGAGTGGTGGGTGGGACTTCGTTTCTGCGCATAAAAGCCCGGGGATACTGGCTGTTTTCATCTTTCAACAACAAACACAATGTACTGATGCAGAATCATGGGCATACCAAGTCTGGACAAGTCTGGCCGCAAGTCGTGGAGTTAGACTCTCGGAGTGAGGGGCCAGATAGCCAGCTCATTTGGTTTATCGCCGTCCGCCGTGGACTCTTGTGGTGTATTGTTGAGAAATATCCCATGAACACTGTCCTGGATATGAGGCCTTAACTGCTGTTGAAGACCTACTTTGACGATCGTCAGTAGCCCTTCCCGAAAGAAAAGGGCATACGGTGCGGTTCGCATCTGCTTCTGGCTGACGAGAACGGGTTCGACCAATATTTTGCTCCATCTAGTTACGTGTGTCTTTGGCTACTATGCATATCACTCTGGATACAGGCTCGCGGCAAAAGCCTGTGTACTCCAGCAACGGCGTGGCGATGACTGACCCGGACCACTCAGGCGTGGGGGAAATAGTATATAAGACGGTTCCTTTCTACCGTCTCAAGAAATTGAGCAATCGAAGCTGATGTCACTGTTTGCTTGTTTGTCCGTGGAGTGACCCTGTCTCGCAATGCCCCATCACCATCTTTCGAGGCCAATTTAGTCGTGGTAATGAATGCTTGAATACTGGTTGTAATACCTATCCTATGACGGACGCCAGGGGAAAGAGCTAAAACCTCAAGTTCTTGAGTGTTACGCTTAACGTTCGGAATGAAGCATAGCGCGATGATGCATGAGATGGGATTTCTCCGTGCGGTGCGTGAAGCTTAAGCCTCAGACGATGATCATTGTGCTGCGTTCGTGCTGACAACGGCCTGCTGTTGAACTCATTTATAGATGATCTGAGAGGCTTCTCGGCGCTATCTTGAAGGGCTTGGTGTCTAGCATAAATCTTTTTCCGGAGTATAAGAGCGTATCCGCACGGAAAAGTTCACCTGCTCCGCCGCAAATGGAAGGTTCAACTGAGGATTGTTAAAAGCCCGCAACCTGCTCTTCATCTCAGCCTGCCGGA